CTGTGCTTGTCTCTGTGTTGGACTCTGGCTGAGGTCAGCAGGATACAAGTGCTTGATGGGTCTGAAGCCTGCGGGACTGCAGGCATCACTTCAGTGCTTTCTGCAGTTCATCTTACAAGTGGGAGCTGGCAATGGCAAAGACAGTTGCTGCCTGCCTCTCTGGTGCCTGCACACATCCTGCACCTACTCACCTACCTGCTGCCTCCGGCAATGAGGCTTGATTTGTCATGGTTTTGGTTGGTAGAATGCATTGAGCATCATACAGTGTGGGCTCCACCTCTGCAGCTCAGAGCCTGACCTAACGTGTGGGCCTCTGGGGGGTGGTGGCTCTGGGGCAGCCTGGGGACTCTGGAGCAGAACCAGAGCAATCAGCTCCCTGCAAGGTGAGTGCTTTAGTGTGGGTGGCTCAAGGAACTGGTTGGGATCCTCTGGGTTTATTTCCCAATCACCTGTATGTGGGTGGCTAAAAAGCACACCCAGAGGATTTCCAGCACCTGGGAATACCTGTTGGTGAGGCTTTCAATGCCTCCCATATGGTCCTGTCTTCCTGATCATTTCTTCTCATGACCAGCTCCATCACACAAAAACCTGGGAGCAGAGGTGATCTCAGTGAAGATGAGATGCTTCCTGTGGTTCAGAAACAGGGATTTGGATCTTGGCTGCTCTGAGCAAGGACAGTTTTGGCTCATTGCTGCATCTGTAGCTGCAAAGCCTGAGGCTGCATCCCAAAGATGCCTCATTTGTGGTGTTGCAGGGGAAGCCTTTTTCCTATCCAAGCTGTGGCTGTGCTGTCCTGTGTGGGGTGCCGAAGGAAAGAAACACTGATGAAACGGGCGGATGTGATGCCTGGAAGGAAGGATACTCATTGTTTTGTCCTGTGATAAAAGGCTGGTGGTGCTGAGTCAGTGTCCAGGGAGGAAGGAAAGTAGGAGGCAGGAGCAGGATGCGGGCTGCAGATGTATCCGTCCTTTGGACAGAGGATGACAGCTCCCTGCTGCCCCCCTGGTGCTCTGCTCTTCTCTTACCTGGTCTGGTATTTACATCCAGCTAATCAGTCTCCTTCTAACACAGTTATATGTCACTGTATAACTGTCCCATCCCTTCTCCCAGCTGCTGAGCCAATGCCACTGTGCTGCACTAGAGCTGGGCAGGGCGCTTCACTGTGTCTCTGCACCTCAGTCTGGGGCTGTCAGTTTTTAAGCAGCTTTTAACAACAGATCCAAAGAAACCACTTTTTAATCAGACTGGAGATGGCTGAAGTGTGCAGACCTTTCCTGTTGTGTGTGTTCCGTATCAAAATACTGCAAAAGCAAAGGGCAGGGAGAGCACTGGTGCTGGCTCAGTTTGTATTTTTGCTGCAGAGTTCTTGCATCAGATATCAGCCTGGAGAAGAGAAGGTTCCTTAAAGTGAGACCTTAGAGCAGCTCCAGTGCCTAAAGGGGCTCCAGGAAATCTGGAGAGGGGCTTGGGACAAGGGCCTGTAGGGACAGGGCAAGGGGAATGGCTTGAACCTGCCAGAAGGGAGACTGAGCTGAGCTCTTAGGCAGAAGCTCTTCCCTGTGAGGGTGCTGAGGCGCTGGCACAGGGTGCCCAGAGAAGCTGTGGCTGCCCCATCCCTGGCAGTGTTCAAGGCCAGGTTGGACACAGGGGCTTGGAGCAAGCTGCTCCAGTGGAAGGTGTCCCTGCTCGTGGCAGGGGTTGGAGCTGGATGAGCTTTAAGGTCCCTCCAACACAAACCAGGCTGGGATTCTGTCACCTGCCTGTGAAATGCACGAGGGTATTTGTGAGCGAGCTTTGCCCTTGCTCTGAGCACACACACACCACCCAGGAGCAGGAAAGTCCATGCTTCCTGGGTGATCTGCTGCTGGGGGGCACTGCCGTGTTGCCTGAACAGTTAATTTTCAGTGTGTGGGGGTGATTTAATGGATCTAAATGGGGGATGAGCCACACTTCTGGCAGTGAGGGCAAGGGTATTTTCAGGAGGGACGTCTGGAGCCCTGAGGACAGTTGCAGGATAGAAACTGTGCTCCTGCTTAAAGCAAGAATTTTAGGAATGTCCTTCTCTGTTCTTCTTCCTTTTTGTGTGTGTGTGTCTGCTGCAACATGTAGAAAAGCTTCTACACACCAAAGGACAGATTGTGGATGTGCGGTGTGGTCTGAACTGCCCAGCTGACACAGATGAGAGCAATGAATCGGTGGGGAAAAGTTTACAGCATCCTCTTGGTTTTAGAAACAAAAACGTTTCCAAGTGGATATGAGCAGTGGTAGAAGGGATTCATGGCCCTCTGCAAAGTCTGGACACTGAGTAGAAGGGTTCATCATCTGGGAAAAGGCATTTCTGTCGTGGTGTGGACCACGGAGGGGTCCTCAACAGCTTGGGCCGGGGGGGATATTGCAGTGCTGCAGGGATGCTGTTTGCTGTCAGTGAGGGATCTCTGTCATTCTGAGCCTCACTGACAGCTTTGGACAAAGGGATTGCTGCTCTGTTCAGTTGTCTGCAAGTGAGTTACCTGACTGCATCCTGGAGAGACCTTAGGGCAGCCTTCTAATACCTGCAGGGGCTACAGGAAAGCTGGAGAGGGGCTCTGAACAAGGGCCTGCAGGCACAGGACAAGGGGAATGGCTTGAACCTGCCAGAGGGGAGACTTAGATGAGCTCTTAGGCAGAAGCTCTTCCCTGTGAGGGTGGTGTCCTGTCCCTGCCTGCCCTTGTCAAAATCCCCCCTCCACTTTTCTTGCCAGCCCTACATATTCTGCCTATACAGAATGCAGCACTTTACATGACACACCAAAACTCTGTACAGCCTTTCAGTACTTAGTCCTGTGCCCTGTCTCCTCCATTGTTTTCTCAGGAAGCGGGATGAGTATTAGCACCAGAGCTCTTCTCCCCGCTCCCAGCCCACTCTGCAGCAGTCTGGCATCAGCTCCTCTGTTCAACCACAAATGTTTCAGATTTCTTTGCAAATGTGTTTTAAAAGGGGGGGTGGGGAGGCCATAAACAACTCAGGAGCTTTCCCAGGGCTGTAGCCTGAACCCAGGAGTACCTAAACCAGAAGGGCAGCCCCTGTGGGAGAGTCATGCAGTGATTGTGCAGCCTCAGGTTCCTCATTCCTCACCTTGCCTGTGCCCTCACCTCTAAGTGAGGGAATCCTACAGCAGGTTCTGTACTGCTTCCTGGGAGCAGGGTGGACCTCGTCCCTCCTGGCACTGCCCAATGAACAGCAAAACCATGTTCTGATGTTACTACGCTCTGCTTTCCTTCCTAGCTCCATATGTGCTCAGGGATGTAGATCTAACTATGTCACTTCGTAATAACAGCCATCTCCTTCCCCTTTGTGCAGCATTATCATGTTACATCAGGATGTTAACGTGTGCCTACTACAGACACAGCCCTGAGAGGCCACATAAGTGACAAGTGACCCATCTCAGCAGTTGTGGCTAGTCTGAATTCAACCTTCTGCTTGGCTCCGGGGGTTAACGCGACTCTGTGACTGTCCCCACAGCGTGGGCTTTCTCCCTTAGTCTGCTCCTTGCTACCAGATGCATTCTTTGCTTCCAACATATGGACTCAATTACTGTCCCTCTCTCTTGATTTCCTGCCTCTTTGTGTTTCCTGAAACGCATCCCCTCCTCCTGGCAGCTTGAACTCCCGCAGTGAGATGCTTTGCAAGCTCTCGCATTCCTCCTTCTCTCCCTCCTGCCGCTTTGCTGCCTCTGACAAGATGGTCCTGATCCAGAGCACGCACAGATAAGGCTGCAGACACTCACTGTCCCTAGAGCTCAGCCCGGGAACCCCGAGGGCTTGGCTTGCCACGGCAGAACTAGCCAGCCCACTAAATGCATGTTCCATGTCTAGCGTTGGTGCCCCTGCTCCTCTAGAGGTCCCCTCCCTGCCTCAGCATTGTTCCTAGATCACCCTGGTGTTTTCAGCCAACCTCTCTCTTTGCAATACTTGGGTTTATTCCACCCCCCACCCCCTTCCCTTCTGAGCCCATGGGCTTTCTGAGCCTCCGTGCTTTGAAAGGAGCATCAAAATGCTCTGGGCCCCTCCTGGGTGCTGTTCAGCTTCTTTCCTGTTCATCTACTCCTGCAGAAAAGCCCATGCCTCCTGCCTTTAAAAGCATTTGAGGAGGAAGGAAGAGGGAGCTCCATCTTCTCCATTACTGGTTCTCTCAACCCTTTCCTGCTTCTCTGGGAGAGCCCCAGGCACCGCTGTGTTGTGGTGCTGGAAATCTAAAGCAATCTGAGCTTATTCAAGGGACAGGAGGGTGGAAATGGTTAAATCACACAAACGAGCAAGTTAATGCTTTCCATCCCCTTGCTGGCATGTTTCGGTTTGTGGAAGGGGGTCTGGCCAGCAGCTGTGCCAGCAATTGTAGCTCTAAAAGAGTATTTTCTTTGTGTCAGCTTTCATCCATGGCCCCTTTGGATTCCCCTGGCTCCCGCAGATGCCAGAGTTTCCAGGGCTGCTGCTGCGAGTCCCTGTGACTGTTTTCCCTCCCATACCCGGCGATGGAGTTGGGGTTGGGGGGGCGATGAAGAAGGCACTGATTGCTTCTTGCCCCATCCTTACCCAAGCAGAGGAAAGGTACTTTTCTCAGGATATAAGTGACTTGGCAGCACTTACAAACAGAATGAAAAGCTGCATCTCTGAACCCAGGAGCACAGGGGAGCAACTTGGGGTGCAGCTCAGGGGAATGCAACAGACAAACATTTGTGGCTTCAGATGCAGGAGCCTTCTTGTATAAGAAGGCTTATTTACTGCTATGCATATATATCTATATATGGCTTATATATTATGAGATATTGTATAATAAACTGTATTACAATAAGCCTGGACACTGTGTGTCCATGTTCTCTCTCCTAAGGTCATTGAGCCCCAACAGCAGGCATAGGGAATGGGTTGTGCCTGTGCTGTTGTTTGAGCTTCCCCTCGAGGGATGGTGCCTGTCACCCCCCTCGGTACCCCATCCGTCCCCCCCCTACAAAGAGTAGTAACTCCTTAGGATCTCCAGAGTGCCAGAGCCTTGCTTGCCCAGTACCCAGAGACCCGTTTGTGTGATACCAGACTAAACTTATCACTGCTTTTCTTACCCACAGCAGGAATGCGTCGGCTGGGCTCTGCCATCAGCAGCATCACCTTAAATCACCTCCCTAACTTCTCACTCACCTTCTCCTGATGCATTTTCCTACTGTAGGCAGTGGTGGAAGCAAGGAGAAGGAGAAGCACAAACTTCTCCAATCAGGTAAAGTGAAAAGGGTGTTTAAAAGTCCTTGAGTTCACTGAAGATGGGGGGAGGTGGGAGGGGTGGTAAATAAAGCCCAGAGGTCAGGCTCTGTCACTGTCACTGCATCCTTCCTCAGCCTCTCAGTCCCATTGTCTGGTCTGGGCTGTCTGGTCTCAGACTGAAGGCCTCATTGGGTCACTGCCTTGTCTCAACCTCGGGGACCCTTTACACCCCCCCAGACCCTCTACTTGGCTTTGGCACAAGTGGGTAGGTAAATGTAAGAAACTAGAAAGCCCTAATAGATGGGCTTTGGTTATAGCTGCCACTCAGCCTGCACTAAAGACATTGAGAGCCCCACAGGTGAATTTGGACTGGATTGCTGTGAAAGGAGCACCTCTGCCAGCCGAAGTCACAGTGAGGGCTCTTGTGTCACTCCTGAGAGCCCCCAAGTTTCCAGTGACTTGTGGGGTGTATTCCCCCTCGATCCCTACAGCCTCCCTTCACTAGCCCAAAAGCCAGGTCCGATAGCCCGTTTTGTGCCCCAGCCCTCCCCCCAGCGTGCTGGTGCTGTCCCTGCTCCCCTCTGCCGTGTTTCTGGGGTGCAGGGTGCTGCTGGTGTAGGCAGTGGGGGGTGGCAGGCAGCATAGGCAGCCTCTCACAGATGTTTAATGGGATTTTACAGCTCTGGGTCTCATCGGGAGCTGTTGTCACGGAAACGGAGATCTGCAGAGCCCCGTGCGCTCGGCGTTAACCGCCTCGGTGCCGTGCTGATGGCCAGGGCAGGATGTGCTTCAAGGCTGGTGGTGAGTGATCTGGATCTGGAGCTCACAGCCTCTGCCTGGCTTTGCAGAGGTAGCTGGTTTATTTCGGTCTGGTGGTTTAATGGCTTCTTAAACCTGCTCCTGGGATGCTGGAGCACAAGGCTGGGAGCATGTTCTGCCCCTGTGTCCTGGCCCTCTTGTTCTCAAGCTTGGGAGACTCCCACACTAACAAGAGGAGGCAACAGGCAAGGGTGGGTGCAGGGAAATGTCCTACCAGTGCCTGCTCCCAGCACATCTCATAGGCTGCAGCGCGGGGACCTCCTCTGGGTGTGGGGCTGGACAGGAGAGGGCACCAGAGCTGCGCTGCCACCGGGGTGGTGGCAGAGCACGGGCCACCCTTGCACATGGCTCCCCGAGGGGTGACATCCCTATTGCTAGGGCAGGCTGGCAGCTGAGGCCAGGCTAATCGCCTTAGCGGCCTGAGCACCATCACGAGAGTGAAGGGAGATTAGAGGGCACGGCGGCATTAGCAACCCGGGACGGTCATTGGAGAGGCACAAGGAGAAAACTGAGTCAAGCAGAGAGAGAGAAGACCCCAGGGAGACATCAGCGGAGCAGCTGGAGAGGCCTCCTCCATAGGCAGCAAATAACCCAACAGCTGGGATCTCTGAGGAAGTGAAAGGCTTTAGACACCGTACCCAAGAATGCCAGCAGAGCCATCCCTGCTCCCTCCTCCCCAGCAGGAAGGTGTTGCCAGGCAGTCTGGGTCATAATCCATTCCCACCCATCCCCGGGGGGGCGAATGTGTGTGGATGCTTTCCCAGCCCCCACACGGCCATGGGGCATGAAAACATTCCCTCAAAGCGTATGCCCCATCCCTGGCAGTGTCCAAGGCCAGGTTGGACACAGGGGCTTGGAGAAAGCTGCTCTAGTGGAAGGTGTGGCAGGGGGTTGGAAGTGGATGAGCTTTAAGGTCCCTTCCAGCACAAACCAGTCTGGGATTCTATGGTTCTATAGAGAGTGAAGACCTACTGGAGTTTACCCCATATCTGAGACATGGAAGACATATTGAGCATATACTGACCCTTTCCCTGATACAAAAGATAAAAGATGCTATTTTCCATGGCAGAGAAGGGGGTGAGTGAGTGAACTGCACAGTGGACTCCACTGTGAAGGAGCTCAGATGCAGGGCTCTGTTTCCTCTTCCTGCCACATCAGTGTCACCAGGTTCTGTGTTTCCTTCCTCAGTGGCTAACGGGGCTGGAGTGATGGGTGCTTTACAGGCAGCTTTGTGGTCCAGCAGCCTGTCTCACCAGAGCAAGGCAGTGTGGCAGGGTAGGTGCTGCTCCCTGGCTGTGCCACCTCTGTGCTGCTTCCCACAAGGAGTTCCAGGGCTGGTGAGGGAAGGAAAAACCATGGTGCCTACTTTTACTACTTGCTCTTTGTTCCTTCCTTGCAGCTGTCAAGGAAACCATGGCATGGTTCACATACCCAGCTGGTATTGCTGTAGTTGCTGACGTTACATCCTTTTAATCTACATCCAAAATAGCTTCACCCCTCCATTCCTGGTGGCTTACACAGCAACTTTCACTGCGCACTCCCGCCTGCCGTTGTCTGTTCTTCTGCCCAGTGATGCGGACCAGGATACCAGTCTTAAAATCATACACTGTCTGGGTTAGAAGGGACCTTTGAAGGTCATCTGGTCCAATCCCCCTAGCTCAGGGTGCTCAGAGCCCTGTCCAACCTGACCTTGAGTATTTCCAGGGTGGGGCATCTGTCATCTCTTTGGGCAACCTGTGCCAGTGTCTTGCCATCCTCAGTGTAAAAGATCTCTTCCCTATATCTAATCTGAACTTACCCTTTCCATTTAAAACAATGACCCTTTGTCCTATTGCAAAGGCCCTACTAAAAGTTTTATGTGTTTCTGCTAAGGAGCAAAATTATACCTTTTAGGTGCATGAGTGTGGGAAAGACAGGACCAGAGAGACATGGAAAGAATCGAGGTGGTAGTGAGAGATATGGAAATACCGCACCCATTGCCAGCAGCTACAGCGAAAGCCTTGTTCTGTATTAGAGGCAGAAAGAAGAGCGATCAAGAGGGTTGGAAAAGGAGGCAGCTTTTCCAAGGAAGCAGGTTCACAACACAGTGAAGAGATGTTAAAGCAGCTTCTGTGCTGCTGAAAGTGGCTGCTTTACAGGATGTTCTGGGTAGAGGGGCTGTGATGTGCTCAGAGTGGAAAAGAAAACAGGGAAAAACAGGACCCAAAGTGGGATTGAGGACACAGAAATGGCCACAAGCAAGTGACCAGACCAGAAGAGTATAGGGTAGGAAGATCTCTCACTTGGAAAAACAAAACCAGGGTAGAGATGTAGAAAAGATAAAGCCATAACTTTTCTGGCACAAATACAGGAGGATGAGGGTGAGGAGAAGCAGAGGAAGAAATCCCCAACTCAGCTTCAGCAGCCTACAGCAGCAGTGGGATGCTTGCTCATCTTTTACCTGCAGAAAAGGGCAGGGATTTAAAGCAAGGGGGCTGATCTGCCTCTTGGCCTCAGCAGGATCCAAGTCTAAGGGGTGGGTAGTGTAGCCTTGCTGCCCCCTCAGACCCCGACCACCTTGGTGTCTGTATGGCAGATGTGCCTTGGTGCTGTGCAGGGTACCTGTGGTCCTCCACCAGTGATGGGACCGTGACTGTGAGTGGCAGCAGCACAAAACCTGTAGGTACATGTGACACAGCACCATGTGTACTCCCATACACGGCTTCGGCTCTCAGTAACAGCGTGCCCTGTGTCCCATTGACATCTGACTTGGTTTCACCCCTCTGGCCCTTTCCCAGAGGAGCACTGTGTGCTCTGAGGGCAGGAAGCTCTTGCTGCAATCAAAACCCTGGTGGGAGGGAGCACTGGCTGCCTTTGCAGCTGGTTCAGACCCAGCTTCCTTTGGAGGGGGAGGATTTCCCTTTCCACACCTGCACAAACAGGGGGCCCGGAGTCACTGCCTACAGGAGGAAATGGCCAAGAGGGTTCTGGAGGTAGGAGCTGGGAGGGGGGTACCAGATACTTGAGCCTGAACTTTGCCTGGCACTATGGGATTCCCTTCCCCTGCCCTGGATCTTTCCCTTTTTTGCTCTTCTCAGGAAGTGATTTCAGTTCAGTGCAGTACCCATGTGTTTGTCTCGTGGTTTAACCCCATGGGTAGCTAAAAGCCACTGAACAGCTGAACGTCTTCCTGCTGATGAGAAGTAGTGAATGAATTCCTCATTGCTTTGCTGTTGATTTACCTATTAAACCACCTTTATCTCAACCCTTACCCTTCCCATTCTGACCCTATCCTGATGCAGGGTAAGGAGCGAGTAGCTGTGTGGTGCTGACCTGCCCACAGCAGCTCAGGATTAACCCACGACAGGTGTGAAAGCATGTGTTTGCAGAGGATGCTGCTGGAGCTGGTGCTCCTCGGGGTCCTCCTTCCCATGACTCTCCTGTCTGGTGCTTTGCAGTCCCCAGGAGCTTTCCCAGTGGGATGTATTGCTCTCCATCACCAGTTGTCAGGACATTTCTCCATGCCCTGTCACGGCTGCCAAGGAAGACAGGAGCTCAGCGTGTGAGCCTTGTCAGCTCTGATCTGACTCCCATCCTGCCCCGCAGCTGGCTCTATTCTGCCTTGAGCAGCTCCATCCCTAGACTGGAAAGAAATAAGGAAAGCCGCTGGGCTTCTGCTTAATAGCTTAAAGGACCCGTTGTGGGGGAGCGAGGTCAGCGAAAGGGGATGCTGCAGCCAGCTCATCGAGGAAGGCATGCAGGGCACGGACACAATAGCTCCGTGTCCTCCTCTGGTCTGGCTCAGCACTTGTCCTACCCTTGAGCTTCAGCCAGATGATTCAGAATTGGTTTGTGGTTGAAGTGATTCAAGCCGTGATCTTTTCTGCTGCCCCAACGTCACGCGTGTGCCATCTGCTTCCCACCATGCAGCAAAGTGAAGGCAGGAAATCAATCACAATTCCATTGCTGCTGGCCCGAGAATCCAAAGGGAAGAGAGGAAGGGTTTAGCTGGCTGGATTCAAGGGGACTCTTCCTCCTCAGAGAGGATGCTGCTGTGGTGCACAGAGCAGACACAGTACTAGGTGGTTGCCTGGTCTGTGGGAGGGATGACGATGTTTGTCATCCCAATCCAAGCCTGAGGAACAGGGCAGGTTGCAGCCTTTGCTGGTGGATGTGATCATACCAGGGCAAAAATCTGTGCATTGTGTGTAGGAGGCAGCAATTTCCAAGTATTCCTGAAATGTTTTGCTTGTCCTCTGTAAAGCCACTGCAATTTCAAACCAGATCTGCTGGGGTTGACCAAAAATAGCATCTTTGGGCATGGATTTCCAGCCCAGCAGTCCCTTGGCCAAGCCATAAATACTCTTTGCCCAAAGCACTATGTATGTTCAGTAGCTCCAGTGTTTTCCTGTTGTCCTGCTGCTACTGGCATGAGAAACCACTTAATAAACCCCACTTGGATTTCCAAAGGGGTCTCTTGCAGCCTCCTTAAACAGCTAAGCTCCCACAGGATGAGAGGGGAGGTTCCTATCTCACTGCTAACCTGTTATTTAACCGGGTAAAGGCAGGAAACAACTCATCAGGAAGACTGTGAATAGTAGGGATATTTCTGGCCCTATTTCAGTAGGAAAGAAACAAAAGGCTGGCTGTGAAGGGCTGCTAAAGGGCCTCACCTGGATGTTTGGAGGCTTGGAGCATCTCAAAGGGGTTGTCTTGCCCTGTGTGCCTTTTATAACTCTATGGAGATGCTCTGAGCATCTGTTGCCAGTAGGAGCGAAACGTGGGGGCTGTGGGGTGTCTATGGCAATGTCAGCCAAGTGTTCTGAGGTAGTTAAACCCCAAAAGCCCCCTCTGAGACTTCGAAATCTCTGGGAAAGAGGAAGGAAAAGCAACCGCAGCAGCAGCCTTTTCTGGTTTATATGCGCTGTGCTGCCTGCAGTTCTGGCTCCCCTGCCTGAAGGGGGACACCATAAGCTAGATACGGAGCTGAGCGAGGCAGCGAGGGTAACTGGGGCTGCTTAATTCAGGAAAAGAACACGAAGGAGGCATATGAAATCATAACCTGGAGATGTCGGGGTCTCTCCCACGGGAGTGAAGCTGGCAGGGGTAGGTTTAAATGCCAAGCTGCAGTTCCACAGCCCTCCTCTTCACAGGATGTTGCAGATGCTTTCAGCCTGCCCGGGTTAAATAAAGCAACCGAATAAAGCATTTATGGAAGAAAACGGTGGGAGGATGTGAGAAAATTCACCGGTTGGGAAAGATGAGAGAGTGAGTGTCAGTGCGGGCGTGAGGGAGAACTGGGACCTGCGAGGAGCGGAGGTGGAGGGAGGGAGCCGTCTGCTGGGTTCCTGCCAGGTCTTGGGAACGGGTTATCCTGGGGACGGAGGAAGGATGAGGAGCAAGGAGCTGCTGCTGCAGGCTGGGGTTTGGGAGCCATGGGGGAGCCTCTGAGAAGGGGCTGCTGGATCAGAGGAGGGTATGCAGAGGGAGAAGGACAAGCAGTGCATTGAATAGAGGCTCCTGATTTCTTTCAGCTCTCTTTAGCTGTGCTGCAGTCCAGCTGGCAGCTGGGGGGACATATCTCACCCTCCTCCTTTCTGCTGTAGCCCTGAGGGAATCAGTGCACAAAGCCTGGCAGCTCTGAATGCTCCCTGTGTTGTCTGCCCAGACCAAATGCCTCATCCCCGAGGGGCTGACCCAGCAGCAGCACCCACACAGGGTCCACACAGCAGGGTCCAGCGCCTAAAAACGCCCACCCTCCATAGGGGACACCCTGGCAGCAGACCTGGAAGGGAGATGGTTGATGTCTGTGTTTGGAGGCGATCAGTCCCTCCCCAGCCAGGCTCTGTGCGTGATCTGTGTGCGTCAGCCCTGCCGTGCACAGAGCTCTCCACCTATCCCCCGTGCTCCCTTCATGTTCCTCTTGCTTTCCTAGTTTGGGGATGGGGGGCAGACCCATAGGTGATGTCTCCTGTGGGGCTGTGGGTAGGAGCAGTGCAGGGAGAGGTGAGGAGTAGTTTCAGCTGTGCTCCAGAGATGGGTGCTGGGTTTGTGATGGGTATCTAGCTGACCCTCCAAAAGGCTTTTAAATCATGTATAGAAGCCTTATAACTCGTCTCCTCTGCACGTTTTAACGTGCCTTCCTTTGGTATTTCAGGAGCTATGGTTACAGCAAGAAAGGCTTTCAGTCCCCAAACAGTTAACTTCTCATTGCCTGCAGCATCTGAGCGCTAATTCAGCTGCTGCTTTATATTCCTGAGCAGGTCTCCTCCCTTCTGCCATCCCATCATAAACTACATCTTCCCATGCACTGAAGGCAGGATGCTGTGCTGTGGTGATGCTTAGCACCGTGTCCCCTATCACTGGGTGCCCTGGTGCCAGTTGGTGCTTGGTGGCTGCTCTAATTCGGGGCTGTTGGCTTGAGTGTGGCGTCATGAGCTGGGTGAGCTCAGCTTTAAGCTGTAAAGGCTTCTTAAGGGTAGGTGCTGTCTGGTCCTCATTACTGGGACATCAACACTTGGCTGTGTTTAGAAGGCAATGCCAAGCTTAAATGGATAAGGCCAAAGTGTTGGAGATGGAAGGATTCAGGGGGCTGTAATCTTGGCAGGCAGCATCCTCTGTTACACCATCACCGTTCCCTCCCTTGGGCTGCACAGAGACCCCCTAAGGAGGTGGTGTCTGAGGTGTGGAGTCCCATTAGGGTCATGGTGTTGCCCATCAGGGAGCTATGACTGCTCTCTGGGGTTGGGGTGAAGACAGGCAGGGGTCTGAAACCCTTAATGTGGTGCATTGGGCAGACCTGGACCATGTTCCTGTGGTGGGAACTTCTTGATTCTCCATTGTCTTGAGGTCCTCCAGCCCAGACTGAGGAAGACGAACCAGAGCTGGCCTGCAGGTTCTACCAGAGCTTCTCCCCTCTGTTTTTAACAACACCTTGTTTTCAGAACAACTGAGACCAGCAAAGCCATTGAGGTGACAGGAGATGGTGGCATCCTGGAGGACACAGTGGAGACCATCAGCTGCTTGTGCTACACATTGTCACTGGGCAAAGGCAGAAAACTGCTGGACCATCAAAAGCTTTCAGTAAGTAAAATTCGCTCACACAGTGCATGGCTGTGAAGGGTAATGCGTTTTCTTTCTTGCTTTTGGAGCTGCCTGACCCAGTTTTTGTGCCATTGTAGCTATCCTGTCCAATCTTTGGCCTGCCCCCATAGACAAGTGAAGGGTCAAAGGCTTCAAGCCAAGGGGAGGAACTTCATCTGCAGTTCCCATGCTGGAGCAAACTGAGCAGAAAGGCAGAGACACAGGGGCAAGCCACAGCCCTCCCTACACACAGCTTGGTGCTGGGGTGCCAGAGCAGGGACCCCAGTTCTTGTCTTGCAGGGTGGTGGCTGTTGGTGCAGTAGTTTACAGTGGGAACAGCTCTGCTCCTGCCTGCAGCTTCCAGGCATTGAGTTTTGTGTCCTAATTTAACATATTTGTGACACTGAAGTAATGGTAAGATCCATAACAGCCCAGCATCACCTGGAACCAGTACACAGCTTGGCTGCTGTCACATCCCTGCAGGAGGAGGCAGGCTGATTCCAGCACAGGGAGCTGGGGTACCAGGAGGGTGGAGAAGGAAATAGGGTGGCTGGGAATGCTCTCAGGGAGAAGGGAGAATGGCCACACATGGAGGGGTGAGCCAGCACAAGCAGTGCATCCGGATCTGGGGCTTTTAACATGGCTGTGACCCCAGCGCAGGCTCTTTGCTGCTGGAGCCTGTGCCTGTCCAAGCACTACTGGGGGCACTGGTCCCTCCTGGGGTCACCCTGAGCCTTTGCAGCTTTTAGTTTTAATGCTCTTTTGTGTTCACTAATAATACAATTCCATTCTTTGGTATCATTTGGGTGCTCCTGGGGCTCATCCATCACATCACAGGCTGGAAGCTCAGCAGCCCCATGCGGCACGTGGCACAGCCTCTGGTCCCCTCACGGTGGTGGCTACATTCAGCGGGGCTCTTTGTGCTTCCAATGCACTTCATGTCTATTATCTCACTCCAGTCCCAGGTGCTCAGCTTATGCAAAGCCAGTGGTGCATGAACCAGAGAGAATAACAGTGAGCGTGTGGATGCAGAGAGGCCCTTGGGAAGAGGTAGGAGTGTGCCTTTTGTATAAGAGGTTTGTGCTTGAAAGAGAAAAATGCTTATTTGTAGAGGGGAGAAGAGTTGCTTGGCTTCAGCCTCGAGCAGCTGGTTGGGATGGATGGTGCTGGATGTGACCCAGGGATTCCCCACATTCAAGCCAGGGAGAACCAGGAGCCCACTAGAAGCAGTTTGTCCCCTTCTCCTGCCTGGGAAGGGATGAGAGAGTCAAAAAGGACAGGTAAGAAAATTAAACCACAGAGTGACACTGGATTGGAAAGGACCTTAAAGCTCACCCAGTTCCAACCCCTGCCACGAGCAGGGACCCCTTCCACTGGAGCAGCTTGCTCCAAGCCCCTGTGTCCAACCTGGCCTTGAACACTGCCAGGGATGGGGCAGCCACAGCTTCTCTGGGCACCCTGTGCCAGTGCCTCAGCACCCTCACAGGGAAGAGCTTCTGCCTAAGAGCTCAGCTCAGTCTCCCCTCGGGCAGGTTCAAGCCATTCCCCTTGGCCTGTCCCTGCAGGCCCTTGTCCAAAGCCCCTCTCCACGTTCTCCATCAGTCCCTCTGCCTTCTTGGTGCGTGGGTCATCAGAGGGCTCCTTGCAGGGGCAAGAGCTCTGCCACCCTCGTGTCAGGGAGGTGCTGGGCACTGACAGGCTGGTAAGTCGAGGCAGGAGTTGCTTTCATGCAACCAGATGCCTGTGGCTGCATTTAGCAGTCCCAGAATGCAGCAAAACAAAAGAGAAATTGGGATACATGAGCTGCACCCGGGCCAGCCTGGAGCCCTGCCTGAGAGCTTTTATTCTCTTGTAGCAGTTCCCTTCATATAAAGCCTTTTCTTATGGCTTTGCAGCTGCGATGGTCTGTGTTATCGTGACAGCTTATATGGACAAAAAAAGAGAAATAAACATTTTTGATATAAAAAATGTGATCTTGCCTCTGTCTCATACCTTTGCTGGTGCAGAGATGAACATGGAGCTTTGGGGCACTCATCCAGGCTCGGGTGGGCAGCTGGGGAGCTGGAGGTCCTGCTCCATGCACAGAATTCCACCTGGGCAAAGCTGGTTCCTGAGAGCCCAGACATAGAGTGGGCTCTGGGGAATGGAGGTGTCCCCCCTGCCCAAATGTCACCCAGGCTGAAAGCCACATGGGTGGGAAGCTGGCGAGGGCAGGAGCCACCCTCACTGTCCAAATCCTTGCCATGATGGCTACTCCCCAGGGATAAAGGAGAGAGCAGAGCCCTGGTCACAGTGCTTGAGCCCTCCTTGTCCCCAGAGGTGCATGTACCCGTGTGGCAGCCATGTGACAGCAGCATCCCTCCCGGTGACCCCTCAAAGGGGTCCTCCTTCCCTGGCCCTCCCATCAGCAGCACCAGCCCTGCCACCGGCTGAGCTTTGAGGTCAACCCTGCCAGCAATGGGCCAGGCTGCAGCTCCTGCTGCTCTGCTGGGAGGAAGGCCAGGTGCCCCTTCGGAGGCACAAATGCTTTGCCATGTGCTGGTGGCCCTGGCTTGGTGGCACAGGAGGAGTTTGTCCTTGCGACTGGTTCTGTGCATGGGGCTGGAGCCAAGGGCTAAAGGCTGTGTCTAACACAGCCTGGGCTGTATTCCTCATCCTGGGGCTAAGACCACATTGCAGGAACTGGAGTTCTGCTGCTAAGTCCTGCTGGTATCTCATGGTAGGTACCCCAAGGGGTACCTGAATCCCCGCTGCAGCCAGCCCCATCCTCTCCTGTTCTGGGCAGCACTGCTGTTACCCCCATGCCTGCATCGGGGAGCAGCCCCTGCCACCATGAGTTTAGGAAGGTGGTGGTGGGACGTAACCAAGGGGTTCATCAGTATCCTGCTGGGGCTGCTTCAGCCCTTCCTGCTGCAGTGAGCTGCCACCAGCATCTCCTCCTCATCCTCTGCCCTCCTCCACTCCTCCCCATCACCCCACAAGCACAGTCTTGGGGGGACATGGTCATCAGCCAGGGCTGTCTTTTAAAGCGTCTCTGCCTCTTCTCTCACCCCCTTTCCTCTCCGAGGTGTTGCTATTGCTGCCACGGGTGTGGGATGGCGCCAGCCATCCAGCTCCGGCGCCACAGGGCTTTCGGGACAGGCATGGACACACAGGGGACTGCAGGGATGGTTTCAAAATGAGGGCAGGGACCTGATTATTGCCCTACTTTGTGTCAAACCTCACCGGGTTTTTATAGCAGCCTTTTGATGACCTCCTCAATGACAAGTTGCCAACTGGGACGGCCTCGGAGGTGCCAGGATGGGCTGATGCTGGGTTATGGGGTGAGGACACCCCAGAGCTCTGCAGGAGCCAGCAGAGACCTCGTGAGCTTCAGCAGGGAGAAGTGCTGCATTGCCCTTGGGTGCTGCAGCGGTGGAGGAGGATTTCTGGTTCCTAATAGCATGAGGCATTTACAGCATCCTGTAGAGCAGCGGGCTCCAAACTGGTTTTATTACATTCCCCCAATATATTTAGGGATGTATAAATCACCTGCACGTACTAATGGGTATGTTGTAAAGTGCAAACTAAACCAGAAATTAAAACAGGATGGGGTAAAGAGGAAAAAAGCACCAGTTTAAAATGGGGGTTTTGTTTATTAATGATAATAAAAAGTATTTTCTTCCCGCACCTCAATGGACTATCTCCTGCACCCCACTTTGGGGACTATTGGGGAGAAGGGAGCCAGACTGTCCCCACCCCCTCTGGCACCCACGGGCCCCTTCCCCCTGTCCCCCCTTCCCTCCCCTCCGGATGCTGCCCCACACAAAGCAGCTTTGTCTGCCTCTTCCTCTTCCTCTCCTCTTGTCTGGCTGCTCTCCCTCCCTGGCGCCTGTCCTGTCTCCCTGTGCAGCACAAGGACTCTCTTCCTCTCTTTATCTCAGGGCACGGGATCCAAGCCCCCCGTTGCCCCATTGAGGCTCCTGGGGACTCCCTTGGCTGTGCCCTGGTCCAGAGGTGATGGGCAGTGTCCCCACTCCTCTTACCCTGGCATTCATCCCTATCCTGGGGATCCGCTGTCCTGTTGCCGATCATGGCACAGCTTCACCAGCTGCTTTTCTTTCCCCATGCCAGCAGGGCTGTGTCTCTCAGAGTTCACCCAGAGGGCTCACCCCACAACCCATGTGGCATGAGCCCTCTGGGAGAGAGGGGATGTCCCTTGCATGTGCCTCTGCTTCCCAGCCCAAAACTGGCAGCAGCTTCCAAACTTTGGCCAGTGGGATGTGCCCAGCACTGTGCCACCCAGGTCCCTGTCTCCTGCAAAGGAGTGTTCCTGACTGCAGAGGCAACATCACACTCAAGGACCAAGTGCATGGGTTGGCTCCTCCACCAGCAAGGTGGTGACAGTGACCCTGGCAGTCCTATCCACAGCAGTGCAGAGGCCCCAGTAAGTTCCAAGAGACTGAATGGGCTCCAGAGAGGACAGCAGTGTCCCCTTGGAGCAGAGCCCATCCAGCCACACCATGGCCCAAGGCAGTCCCCCCTCTGCCTGATTTGCCTTCATCCCGCTGGCATCCCATCCCTTGTTTTGCCTTCCCCTCCTCTCCCTTCTCACTGGCTCCATGACTTCATGTCTTGGCCACAGATGCCATCAGCTCCTCCAGCACTCAGCTGGACAAGGGCTCTGCCCTGCGGGGAGGACAGACAGACCGAGCAGCATGACAGACCCCAAACAGCAAACACAGCAGAGGCCACCACGAGGTCACACAGGCTGTAAAGGGCAAAATCCCACCACAGCCTATCTCGCCTGGTCTCCTCCATGTGATGGATGAGCTCCCGGCAGGGCCAGCAAAGGGCAGGCAGTGCCCTCCCTCCACCCTCTCCCCCACTGCAGTCACAAGGTTCCAGCAGCAAAAGGCAAGTTTTGTTCCATCTGCACAAGCTGGGGTTAAGCTGTGAAATCCTAAATCAAACCATGGGGAAGTGGATTTATGGAGCAGGAAGGGACACAGGGGATGCTGACACACTTCTCATTCCTGGCCGGGAATGTGAGGCTGTGAGAAGAGCTGGCTGTGTCAGGGGGAGACACAGTACCAGGGGATGTTATGGTGAGGGGCTGGCAGGGAGCTGGGAAGTGTGGGCAGTGGGAAGGGCTTTCCCACCACACCACCCCTTTCTATGGACACCCCTGTTCTACAGACACCCATGCCCCTTGCCTGGCCCACTCTGCCCCAGACAGCCCCTTTTAGACCTTTCCTATCCCAAGCACCGGGGTTTCTAAGTGCCTTTAGACAGCAGCAGCCCTCCCTTCTGATCTGTTTATGGGAGAAGCAGCAGCAGCAGCAGCACCACCCCTCCAACCCCCCCCCCCCCCCCCCCCACACACACACACTGCCACCATCTCCCCAGGGCTCAAAATCCAGCTGCAGGCTCTTGGCACAGGGATGCATGAAGCCTCATTTAACCCTGCATCTCCCAGGCTCTGGGTCAGAGCAGAGTGATCTCCTGCCTGCCTTTGGGCCCCCAAAGGAGCAGGCGAGAGGGAGCCAAGTGGAAATTCAGCTTTTTTAGTGATTATTCCCCCCCTCCGCCTCTTTTCTGGGTGAGATCATGGCTGGAGGAGCTGCCCGATGGGACTTGGCCCATGACCACAGCCTGATGCCAAGGAGCATGTCACCAGGCGGGATGCCAGCTCCCCACCCAGCCCTCCCTGGGGCCGATCAGCCACAGGTCACCTCAGCTCACAAACCAGTGGAAAACCGGGTTTGCTCTATTCCTTTTTGGTTTGTTTTGGGTTTTTTTGCTGTTGTTTCAGTTTGATTTTCAAGGTCAACTGCCCAAAAAAGTGAGTGCTGCAAACAAGAGCCCCACGAGCTGGTGACGTGGGACCATCACTGCCCGCGGCATCTGCAGGCTCCAGCCCTGCCAGGAGCAGGTGGTGAGCTTGGGACAGTCCCCAGGGGAAGGACAACGGGGTCTCCAGCACCATGTAACCTGTTTCTGTATCACCAAGGGCTTCCAGCTCAGCTGCCTGCAGAACAGCCTAGGGCTCCCCTGGTCCCGTGCCATGGCTGTATCCAGGAAGGTGACAGGGAACAGTGAGGGAGAGGGGCAGAGGCGATGAGCTGCTCCTAATGTGGGGGGAAATAAGGAGATGGAGGAGAGGCAGAGCAAAGCAGCAGCAGGAGGGCACCACAGTGAAGGAGGATACGAGACCCTTACAGCTGTTGTTGATGTTCAGAGCATCCCAGCACAGACCCTCGCTGTGGTCCCCTTCTGCTCACTTGCTGAGCCACCTCACAGTGTTGATGAATACACACACCCCACACATGCACACACCTGGCTGGGAGGGTACAGCTACCCAGCCTCCCAGCATCCAGCACTGTTGTAACCCATAGTCCTACTCCAGCCACAGAGTCCCTCAGTGCCCCCCATGACTGCAGGTGAAAGACACCCCCCATCCCCTCACTTGCTCCTATTGCACATCCAGGATCACCCCCTCCTTTCCAAGGCTGTGCCTCCAATCCCCCACTGGTCACTCAACCCGAGTGGCTGCCTGGGGCTCAGTCTTGTCACCCTATCATATCCCTTTTGTCAGGGCTGTGATCCAGGCTCTGTTTCTGTTGGCCTCCTTTTCCCCATCAGCTCAGCTCAGGAAGCTCTCCATCAGTTAACCATGCTGGGATGAACATGTTCCCACTCCCACGTGTCCCTGTTAATTAGCACAGCTGACCGGGTTCCCTTCATCGCTGTTAATTGGCCAGGCTTCTCTTTGTGCCTTTCCCTTCCCTGTTTTCTCAATGCCCTGGGGTGATTTTAGTGCAGCAGAGAGGAGAACTGAAATGAAACTGAACACGTATCCTCACACTGCTCACATCCTCACACTGACACCAGCAGCTGGGGACATGGGGCTCAGGGCACTGGAGAGGCTGAAGCCACACCAGTGGCCACAGCTCCACAAAGCCTCTTTGCTCCCTACCAGCAGTGGCTGTCACCCAGCCAGGGACCCCGCTGGATTGACCATCCCTCTTCCTGCACCCACAGCCCCCATCACCCAGCTCCGGGTGCCCTGGGACAATGTCACCCCAGCTAGGTGACATTCCAACCCTGCGGGTGGCACCTGGAAGCACTCAGCCCTGCTCCCCATTGATGTGATTGATCCCTCCAGAGCTGCCCTAATGCACTCCAGGTGCTCCAGCATGGGAGGGATGGTGGCCCCAGGGCTGGGAGCAGAGGGCACAGTGTGACAGGGGCCCCACAGCACCAGGTCACTGCCCTGTTCCCACCCTGACTCCCCCCATGCCCTCCCCTGTGGTCTGGGACTGCCTGCTCCAAAGGAGGATGCTCTGGGGGTTGGAACACACTCCCATGTGTGTGCATGTGGGTGCACACGTGTGTGCATGTGATGTGTGGGACCTGGGCTGTCCTTATGTGCATAGGGAGGAGGGTTGGCTCTGTGGGGTGCAGGGGTTGTGCCCTGCACCCCTGGAGCCTCCTTCACGTATCAAAGAGGAGGGGGGGCAGCCCAGCCTCTTCCCAGCCTGGCTCTGTGTGTGTCTGTCTGTCAGGCCAGCTCTGCCCTCGCCTCCTCCACCTCCCATCTGGGCAGCAGCAGCTTAAGTTTTCCTCCGGATGCAACATCATGAACTGCGGGGTGTTTCTCCCTGGCCTGTGTCAGATACTACCCTATGGGGTGGGGGGTGAGGGCTTATATTGGCCAGAGGACCCCGCACACAGCACCTGAGCCCCCCTCCCCACCGTGAAAACCCCAGGGTTGGAGAGAGTGGATCCCTGGTAGTGATGGGGAAGGGTCACCATATCCCCCCCAGCACTGGGGAAGGGTGGCCAGGCTGGGGAAGGACAACTGGATCCCCTTAGGGCTGGGAAAGGGGCTGTAGCTGTGGACACCATGGTGTCCTCGGTCATGACTCACAACCATGTCACCCTCCACCCTTGGGGACCTGGGAATGAGGGTGCCCCGAGAGCATCCCCACTGCCAGAGCCAGGCTGAGGCTGAACTGCTGCCTCATGCAGCCTCGGCACTACAGCAGCACTGGGATGGACAGGCCCCATCTGTGCCCTCCTCTTCCCATCAGAATAAAGACAACACATTCAGAAGAAACCATTTTATTATTTTTTTTTCCCAAAGAAAAAAAAAGCCATATAAATATTAGAGTATAAAACTTGCGTGTAACACATCGACGTTGGTCTATATGGGTATAAGAAGGATATAAGCATATATATAATATATAAGTATAATTCAATATTAGACACATTGAAAGGGCAAACGTGTTCATTTCACGTACACTCGGAGCACAGAGCACATGGAAAGAAGATACAGAGAGAATTGAAAATACTGGTGGCCACGAGTAAGTTACCAAGATTAAAAAGAACACAGCACTAAATACACAACACTCACTACGCTACCTCGGGTTGCAGGTTAAAAAGAAATATAAAGACTATGATTCAGCTACAGCATTTCTAGAGGGGGGGGCAAGTGGCAGCTGCAGGGGACAGGGTGGGAACTGCTCCCAGTGCAGCCAGTGCTGGAGGTGCTGGATACAGAAGGGCAACAGCGGATGCTCCTGCTGCCCTGGGTTTGGGGAGGGGGCAGCGGTGGGATGGCCGCAGCCTGGCTGAGAGGGCTGGATCTGCTTGGGTGAGTTATGTGTTAGTGGTTAAAAACGGAAAAAACAACACCCCCCCCAGGAACCCCCTTCCTGGCCACCCCGCAGCCCCTCTCCTCGCTCTGGCTACACAAAGCCCCGCTTTGCCAACCTGGGGGGGGCTCAGAGCTGCTTTGATATGGGAAGCTGGCCTGGTGCAAGGGTTATGGGCATATGGAAAAACTCTATTCCTCATCCTTTGATTCCCTACACAGGGTGGAAAGCCCAAATCCAGTGGGAGCATCTCCTCTGGGCTGGCTTGGCATGGTCCCTTGTAACATCCCCACCTTGTTGCCCTGGCTCGCCAGCTTTGCAGCATCACCCCATGCTCACCCCCAGCTCTTGGCTTGTTCCCCAGGTCTGGTCCCCAAACACCATCGAACCAACCATCACTTACTCAGTCACCAACTCTCAAAGCCATGCACCGGCATCTCCACAGATCTCCCCCTTTGGCTGAGACCCCAAATAACCCCCAAATAAGAAGTGATGATTTTCCCTATCCCGTTTCACCCATCCCACCCACCCCACCCCTCCCAAAGCAGCCCCAGCACAGAGGGGCTGTTCACACCACGCTGCATGGGCATGCAAGGACTTCTCTGGGTCCATGGAGCTAACTGCGCTAGTGCAGGCGTGAGGTGAAGGATGTGCATGCAGAAACGGTGTGCAGAAGCGTGAAGCATCGTCCCCTGGTCCCCTTGATGGGGACTTGGCCAGATGGCCACCTGGCCACAGGGGAGTGAGACTCTCTTAGCTTTAATTCCAGAAGAACATTGACTGTACATATAAATATTTACTGCAAAGAAGGGATGAGATGTGTCTGCTCTTCGGAGACCCCTAGAACCGCTGGGGCAGCTGCCGCACACCTCGGCACGCTCCTCATTGAATTCCCTACATCTGACATCAAGAGGGGGGTTTTAATCTCATATTTCAGGCCATCAGTGGTTGCACTTTAAAACAAGAAAATAAATGTTTAGGATGCAGCTTTGCCATATTCCTTTTGACTCATGCAATATAAACACTTACTTACTGTTTTTCCAGGTAACAGGGAAGCAGGAACTGAAGCACTCCCTACCAACTTCTCAGCAACAAATCCATCGCTATCATTAACTGGGGGTGAATTTTACTGATGGAAAGTTTAAGAGCAAAGATCTGGAGCATGGGCTCTAAGCTAAGGACTTTCTTTCCAAAGAAAAAATGATTGAAGGTCTATAAATTAAAAGATCCCTGCTAGGATTATTTACACTGGGCAAAGCCATGCACAAGCCTTGTGCCTTTCTAGGACTATCTGAGAGCAAATTGGATCCGAAGATGTGGCAGAAGACCTTCTGCCCTTGCATATTCTAACACCCAAGGGATCATATAAAACATTAGCAAGTATTCACAGGGCACTTGTTTGTGTTCGGTTTAGCTTCCGGATTGGTTTTCATCATGAGATCTAACAGCAGCGAGACCCTGCTCCTAGCTCTGATGATGATGAGGAGGAGATACATTCGCAGTGTTTCCTACTTTTAGCATCACAACAAATTCACATTCGTCCTCTGGCCTGAGCTGTGGGTTGGGGGAGTGCTGGAGCCGGCTGCCCTGTGGCTCTAAGGTCTCCTTCTTCTTCTCTACTTCTTCTCCTTCTTCCCGGACTTCTTCTTGTTGCCTCCTGAGGCACCGGCGTTCTTGGCATCACGCTTGCCGGCAGCGTTGGTGAGGGTGGCGGTGCTGCCCGGGATGTAGACGTTCTGCCGGTAATCAGGGACATGCTGCAGGGTGAACTGGGGGCCATAGCGGGCGCTCAGCCCCATGGTGCCCGTCCCACCGCCCAGCGTTGAGTTGCCATCAGCAGCTTCTGTGGGGGACACCAGAGGGTGGGGGGAAAGAGAAGGGCAGGTTGTTACTGTCAGACAAGCATCAGCAGCCCCGAAAGGCTCTCACTGGGTGTCAAACCCAGACCTCAGTGCCATCAAACCTCACCCCAACCCTTCCATTACCCTTCAGTGCTATTGCTCCATGGGATGGCTGCAATGTGCATGATGGAGAGCACGACACAGCCGGCACCAAAATTCCTTGTTTTCATCTCACATGGTTGCTAAAGTCTTGGGATTTGGGGGCCTCCAGCCAACCTTTCCTCTGCCCTTGGCCGCCTTCTTAGCCCCCCTCCACATAAAAGCAACCCCCCCACTGAAAACATCCTCATTACAAACATATTGTACAGCCACAACCATTAACAACGCATTAAGGGAAATCCAATACTATTTTGTTTTTCCATTGCATTTAAAACCCTGCCCCCAGTATTTCTCCAGCCAGGTTTATTCAGGGAGCAGAGCACAGGAGATGAGAAAGAAAACCCCTCCCCTGCAGTACTGCAAAATGGCTCTAGGAAGCCGAGCACAAAGGAAATCAATGCTGAAACACGTCTGATGGTCCAGATCTGGGAGCAGGGGGAGGGGAAGGCAAATTCATTCCTATTGCTCTGCAAAGCCCCAGCATGGAGAGAGCAAGCGTAGGGATGGGGAAGGGCTCAGATTCCCCCTGGGTTGCTGGGGCATGGCTGTAAGGTAGCAACCAGATGGAGACAGGGGGGATGCATGGAAGCAGGGGGAGAAATGAACATGGGAGGATGGCAAGGCACAAGCGATGCTTGTTGCCATGGGCTGCTGCGTGATGTGCTTCAGTGCAACTGCCTGTGCATGGCTCAGGGTGGGATCCTTGCCCAGCCGTGCTCAGAAATGATTTGCTAAACCCAATTCTCTGCCCTGGATACTGTGGATCCTATCTCAGCCTTTTAACTGCTTCACGGCTGCAGACACAGTCTCCTGGGAGGCTGGAGAGACCCAGCAAGAGCACATGAAGGATCCAAGGCAGAGTCCAGGGCTTCTGCTCCCTCCTGTCAAAGATGGAGAGACCACAGGAATAAAGAAAAACAACAAGCAGAGATCATGGGCCAGTCCTCACGTGCTTCTCCTCTCTCCAGATGAGATCCATGCATTCCTCTTTGTTGCCTTTGCTTTCCCCTAAGCAGATGGAAGTGGCTAAGCCAGCCAGAAAGCTAGACAAAAAGCTGGGCCACATCCCCCCATCCCCTGCAATACTGCCATGTACACATCCCCTCACAGGGGTCAGAAGTATGAAGCAACTGCAGCTTGAAAAGTTACAGCTGCTCTGCTGGAGCCAGAGGAGGAGAAAAACACATAGCGAGTCCAAAACCAGGCAGGACATTGTGCCCGAGGCCAGGGGATGCACAGGGCAGTGTAGACACACAGGGAACCAGCGTGGGGAAATGCCTTTTGCTTCCCACTGTGGAAGCAGTCACCAGAAGGAGAATTTTCCTACAGTCCCCATTAAGTGGGTCCCAGATCTGGCAGGGCTTTGAGGACCTCGGGTATGTGCATATACAGTTGGTGATATTGTTCATTCACACTCTTCTCATCAGCAGCTTGTTTTATTAATAACCAGCACAACCCCACACTCATCAGGGTGTTAAACTGGGAATGGGATGGCTGGAGATGTGGGGTCAGACAGACTGACTTTCAGGTGGACTATGGCCTCTGGCAGCAGGGGAGATAACGTTTTCAAGGCTCTTGTAGCTGTAGAGAGCCCAGCCAGGAGCTTGGTGGGCTTGGAAACCTTCTCTGCTGCCCTGGGCCACCCCAGATGCACCAGGGCTCTGAGCAGTGATAGGGCTGGGGGCTGCCAGCACCACCCAGGACAAGTGGTCCCCATGAGCTAGTTTGCAGTCACAGCAGTTTTTCCCAGGGGAGAAAAAGCCACCGTGAAGTTCCCAGCCTGCCTGTTGGTCCCAGGGAAGAGCAAAGAGCTGTTTCTAGGTAACATTGACATTAAGGCTGAAAAGAAGAGAGAACAGGGACAATAGAGGTTTGTAAATGGGCACTGAGCTGCTCTTGCCAAGCAGGGCCCTTCAGCTCTTGTTACGGGAAAGGTTACACTCAGCCTTTACCAGCAGCCACCATTATCCCAAATGGTGCTGAGAAGGAAAACAAGGGTTTGGTCTTCACAAAAATAACCAGCTAGCAGCAACATCAGCCTCATGGGCAGAGGGGAGGAGAGGCTGGAGACAGCCCCAGAGCACATGTTGCTGCAGCTGCTGGGGGGCTTTCAGGAGAACCCAATATAGAGTGTCTGTCCCTGCCTGCAGGCAGTGGAGCTGGGGAGAAGGACCTCCTCCAGCTGCCTTTCTGTCTGCTCTCCCATCATCTCATGGCACCCCTATAAATTCTCCCTGGAAGCTGAAGTATTTTAAGGACAGGACGTCTGTCCTTTTGTGTCTGGTGTCCTGGAGCATCTGTGCTCCTTGGTCTGTCTTTGCAGCTGCCTCTGCCCCTTCAGATGGCTCAAAACACAGATTTTTATATTGTTCCCAGCTGCAAGGGAAGGAGATCACAGAACCATAGAATCCCAGCCTGGTTTGGGTTGGAAGGGACCTTCAAGCTCATCCAGTCTCAACCCCTGCCACGGGCAGGGGCACCTTCCACTGCAGCAGCTTGCTCCAAGCCCCTGTGTCCAACCTGGCCTTGAGCACTGCCAGGGATGGGGCAGCCACAGCTTCTCTGGGCACCCTGTGCCAGCGCCTCAGCACCCTCACAGGGAAGAGCTTCTGCCTAAGAGCTCAGCTCAGTCTCCCCTCTGGCAGGTTCAAGCCATTCCCCTTGGCCTGTCCCTACAGGCCCTTGTCCCAAGCCCCTCTCCAGGTTTCCTGCAGCCCCTTTAGGCACTGGAGCTGCTCTGAGGTCTCCCCTTCAGGAGCCTTCTCTTCTCCAGGCTGACCCAGCCCAGCTCTCTCAGCCTGGCTCCAGAGCAGAGCTGCTCCAGCCCTCAGAGCAGTGAAAATCCCTGCAGATCCAGAGGAAGGAAGCCCAGGAAGGGAGACAGAAGCCCTACAGCAGAGTCACAGCCCTGGTGGAAAACCAGCTCCCCAGGCATTCCAGCCTGGGAGTGCGGTTTAACCATGGGGCAAATAATTTAATCACCAGAGCCACTGGATCACAGTCTTGGCATGGCAGGGCCAGTTTGGCCTCTTGCTGAAGCAAAGGGTAACACCTTTCACAGGGTAAGGATGCATTCATGGCATCCACAGCCACTTCTAGGGAGCATCCTTTGCTCATGGAGCAGAGCAGCATCAGAGGAGTTCCTGCCTCCCAGATGGTCTCTGGTAAGTGCAACTTGAGTGTGGGCTTGACATGGTGTGGATGGAAACTGACATTCAGCACACAGTGCCATCACCTCTGTCACTGTGTCCATCTACCACCACAGAGCTCAGAGCTCAGCAGGTGAAAGTAAGAGATAAGGATCATTTAAAAAGCCAGGAAACATCACCCAAGGATGGGCAGCACAAAGCTTAATGGGAACTAATGCTGCCCCTAATCTAAGATTGCTGCCATCAACACTATGAGCTCTCACTAAGAGTGAGAGCAGAAAAGAGGAGGACAGACATCAGGGGAGACATCACAGCACAGTGCTGGTGGAAAAAAGCTTGTGCTGTGTCTGTAGGTGGATCCATCCATCCATCCATCCATCCATCCATCCATCCATCCATCCATCCATCCTTCTGTTCCTCCAGCACAGCAAGGGACTGGCACGGGGAAGGAAAGGATGGAGTGCAGAGGGCCATCCTCTCATGGGGCTGCAGCAGGGGAAGCCCTAATCTGGTAGATGGATCTGCTTTAAATTAACCCCCAGGGTGAACTGAAGCCGTGGGAGAGGTTAGGACTGTGGAGACTTGTGGACTGGGGAAGAGAGGCTGCAATGGGGCTCAGGGCTACATGGAAGTCAGGGCTTAACCTTGAAGGGACCCGCTCAGCTCTCTGGTGCTCTCACTGGAGCAGCAGTCAGAAAAACAGCTTTATTTATGAGCGAGGAAACCGGATCTGGCAGCACTGGGTGATGATAACCACATGCAACCCCAGAGGATATTTTTCCATGGTCGTTTTTCAGAGCAGGGACACGTTTTCGCATTGCTCCTTTCCCTTGAGTGTAAACAAGTCCTTTGCCCAAGACCTTCATCCCCTATCCTGGCCACAGCAGCTGTGTTTCCAGGCTGCCTGGTGTCTGCACAACAGCAAAGTTCATCTGCAGCAGCTTTCCAAGAAAGCAACGCCAAAGCCATCCCCCTCCCCCAGATTCCTTCTCTCCCAGCAGCTCAAAGGAAGCATCCCAAGCATTCTGCACAAGGTTTTATGGCTGTGCTGTTGCTTCTATTTTTAAGTCAAGGGGGAAAGGACTGTGAGGTATTTATAAATAAAGGCTGCATGAAAAACAGCCTCTTCATCCATAGCGCTGCGCAGAGTGATAATTGCACGTCGTGTCCGTGGGTGCATGGGAATACCCCTCCCTGCCCACCACTTCCACGTGGCACAGCTGTAAAGCAGAACAAACCAACCCAAAATGACCCCAAACCAAATCCCTGTGACTACAACTGCAGTGAACCACTGGTGCAAAGCAGTGTCTCTGGACACAGGCTTTGTTGGGGATACTGAGTCAGGCATTTACTGTGTTCCTGGGCTACTCTCTAGCCACAAGCGAATCTTTCAGGCCTCCTACAGCCTCGCCTTATAGCAAGCTGCAACACAGCAAAGGTTTCATTTACAGTGACCTTTTGGAACCAAGTAGTTTATAAAACATCATCTCAAGACTGTCTCTTTCATGTAGCAGAATTGCATCACAAGCCAGATAACATTCTGTTCAGTACACAGAGAATACATTTTGCACGGAAGAGGTAGCCTTTTCTACAGCATGCCTGATGCTGATGGTATCTCCTCTGTCTGAATCCTTCCTGACCCCTCTTCTCTGCAGGGTAACACAGACAGTGCTTTTCCACTGTTTTCTGTTGAAGAAGGGCTTCTGAAGCCACCCCAGTTAACAGATACATCAATCCCATCAGCATCTTATCTAACAGCATGCACTGAGACATCCACACTAGAGCTTGTGCTTGTTTTCCCACAAAAGATGGAGACCAACCATTTGCTGAAGCCAGGATCATGGCTTGGAGCACCTCCGTGTCAAACTGGTTGTTCGGCCAGGCTCCACCTTCCTCTCCATTCTGGGAGCTATGGGAAGAGAAAAGAAACAGCAAGTTACTGCAGCTCAGTGAGGAGGAGTGAGCTTGTCAGAGTACATCAGAAACCAAGGCTGTAGGCTTGTCTGCTGGTGGAGAGGAGCTGCAGGCTTTAAATCCTTCTAGTAAATAACACTGCCCTATTAAATAACTCTTCCAGATGACTCTATCTCCCACCAGAATTTTGAAGAAGAACCAGCAACACCAAAAGCACTTGGGGGCTCAGTGGTGCTTCTAGCAACACCTACTTAACTTCTGGTGACTTCAGAGACAGCCAACACCTTATCACCTCAAAATCCCACCAACACCTTCCCACTGATACAGTGTCATACCACCAAAAAAATGCTGGTCCTAAAGCCTCAGAGATGCATTCACCCTCTGGTCCTTTTCCAGGCCATGTCAGTGGATGCACCCCTCAAGCTATTTCAGGCTACAACTCCATTCACAGGATGGAAGGTGAGAAAACCCTGTGGCCGGGTGGGCTTTGGGATCAGCATGGAGCCAGCTGCCTGGCACTGCAAAACTTGCTCTGAAGGGAGTCCAAGAGTAGGCATCAGCTCTGCAAAGCTGGCAGCAAACAGTTCTGGGGAGGCTGGAGCAACAGGAAGAGGAGAGAAGGGAGGTTTGGTTCCCCGGGACTGGCTGATGGGAGGGCTGAGCACCACAGATGTGCCTGGGAAAGCTCTGGGGATGCTGTCAGACTTTAGCCAAGGAGGTTTTGTGGCTGAGGCTACAATCAGCAGCCTGTGCACTGTTGAACAAGCCCCGCTTTCATGTCTGCCAGGTGCCAGCTGTGCTCAGGCACCGCTCACTGGTGCTGGCACTTCCCCTCCAGAGGGGTCAGGGCTGCTCTCCCAGAGCCCCTCCGGAACCTCCCTGCTTTCAGCAGAGACCCGAACATCTCACCAGCTTCCTGTGCCCTCCTCTGCTCCGACCCTAAGTGACCACATCACTGAGACCACCTCTCCCCACTGCTGACACCCCCAGCTCTTGCCACCTGCTGGGATACCAGGATCTGCCCCTTGGCTGTGCGCTGCCTCGCTTGGCACAGGAGCAGCCCTTCCCTTGCAGCTGGGCGCTCTCTAGAAGTGAGACAGGGGAGGTTGAAAGCCCTTTCCCATGGAGAGAGCTGAGCCCATTTCCCAGGGCAAGCGTTCAAATACCAGGCTACAAGGCACAGACACGGCCTCCTCCTCCACTGCTGTGGTCCCAGCCCTTACACCCAGGAGCTGTCAGACCCCAAAGCCCTGTTTGGACCCTGAAGCCCTGCTGAGACCCCGAAGCCCTACTGAGACATGCTCAAGCAGCCAAGATCTCCCCCAGCTCTGGGGTCTCCTGCCGGCAGCTTCATGCTTGAGCTGCCAGCACAAGCACTGCTGATGCCAGCTCTACACCGCATGCTGGGCAGCAGATGGGCTCTTCACCCCCATGCCAAGTATCTCGCTAACCCAAGTGCCCTTACTGGGTGTGCCTGCGGCAGCACTCATACAGAACAGGCTCAACACAGCCCTTTTGGAAGTGGGATGGACCCATGGGCACGTCCTTGAAGGATGTATCTGCCACAGTGACCTTGTAGTCAGACTCCCTTTGAAACAACGTGATCTGTGTGTAGATATGTGTATGGATGCTCCCATGTACTCTGTGCAAAATCTTGTCTCAAGCAACTTGTCCAGAGACACAAAGGACCTGTGCCAGGACCACCTGAATATCCACCCCTTCCCCTTTTGTACTGCCTGCCTGATCCATCCCCAGCCAGTCAGGGCACTGCTCTCACACACTGGTTTATCCATGGAGGATGAATCCAATCACTAATGTAGCAGGGGCTCCCTGGCATGACCCTACAAACAGCACCACTTCTGAAATACCTGCTGCAACCCAGGGCATCCCAAAAACTATTTATATCTCTCCTACACAACGTGTGTGATGGCACGGCTTCAGGAAGGCCAGAAGCAAGGTTTGCCTGCCTCACAAATGGATTTTGGTGCTTGCATGATGGCTGTGCTGAGACTACTCAGACATGGGCACTGCTGCTCTGACTGCCTGTTGGGCCAGCCAGCAGCATGCAGGCAACCCAGGCAGTGAGGACAAGGTGGGGACAGCCCTGGGGCTGCAGTGACCTGTTACTGTCAGAAGCAGGGCTGGGAATAGAGCCCCAGGCTAGATCCAATAAAGGACTTAGGAACCTTTTTGCACTAAACCCCATTGCAAACCACATCCCATACAGCCGCAAGTTAACCCCAGCAGCTCCTTGCTGGGGCAATTGAGGTTTCCAGGTTTTTCAGGGCTGCAGGAAAGCTGCCCAGGAACACCCCAGTGTTTCCAACCTGCTGCTCCTGGCTCAGGGAACTGCCCCAACGTGGTGATAGCATCCAGGGATGGGGAAAGGGAAATCACAGGGAAGTGCCAAATCTCTCCTTTTTAATTGAAATACTGCAGTGGTTTGAACTCTGGTTTGAAAGCAGAGACCCAGGTTCAACTCCCTCCATGACGCAGCAGTGCCAGCATCACATTTTCCATCTCCTGAAAGACTCTTTCCTCCCACCTCTCCTTCAGGCAATGGGCTGCACAAGACAGGAGCTCCTCCTGCCTCCTGTCAAAGCTGTGTGCCCTAGGACAGCAGGAATGCACAGAAGGAAATGCTCACCCTGTGGTCAGAGCATTGACCTTGGAGGTAGCACCAAGACCCCCAAGCTCACTGAGCTCCCTAACCAATGGCAATCATCTCTACTCTTGACCTGCTGGCTACGATCTTACCAGTAACACCCAGTCAGTCTCCATCCCAGGAAGGGTGCACTGGTGACTCATGCTCAGCCTGATGCAGCCATTCTCTGCAAGCACCCAGTGCTCCCAAATTTTGCACAAACAGCCCCAAAGCTGTGTGCCTGCTCCCTGTGATGCAGAAAAGCTATTTTAGAAATGCCTTAGAGTTGCAAAAAGTGGTTGAGCTCAGTTGTCTAAGCAGGAAATTCAAGTGCCTCAATTACTTGCAGTGCAATAATCCAGAATTCAGAGGCACATGAAAAGAATAAGTGCTGTAATCTAAAAACACCCAAAAATAACTCCTCGCTTTGGCAGAAGGCACACAGCTGATGACCAGGTCTGGCTGCCTTCCCCGGCGATAGGATGGAGTTGTGAATCAGAGCTGTGAATCACTGATTCAATAGGGAGCAGCCTGCCCTGCCCTGCTCCCCTGCCTGGAATAGGCAGACCTCAGACCCCCCCCTTGCAGCACTGCTGGGGCACTGCTTCGGGGAGGCTGCTTGGAAGGGGAGGGCTGGTTCCTATGGAAATGATTCCAAGGACTCCCTGTTTATAATACAAATGCCATTGACTCAATAGTAGGGTTTTTTTCCTAAAAACCCATCCCCCATAGGAGAGATTTTTTTTTTCCCCTCTATTCAATCCTACTCCACACTTCAAAGCTCAGAAAAGAGCTGGCTTTCATTTCTGGGAACGTTTCCAGCCCCGCTAGGACTGGAGGGAAGGAAGCAAACCCACGTTTGAGACAAACCAAGGGATGCAGCATCTTAAGGGGGTGTTTCAGGCATGGTGGACACAGAGCACAGGACAGGGGCTGTGCCAGCACAGCAGGTACAGCCAGTGCACAACCTGCAACCCCCTTCACTAAACCTCTCTATGTGGAAATTAGGGAACACTGAAATGAAAGGCTTGCCCTGCAGCCCTGACACAGCCCCACAACGAGCTGCATCATGAGGGTGCCCCATTACCAAGGGCATCTGCCCCAGCAGCACAGTGTGGACCTGGGTGCTTTGCTGACTAGCTATTTCACAGCACCCCAACCACCACATCCCTTTTTAACTCCCATTTCGAGCAGAGCCCAGAATTATTCATTTCCTGCCGGAGTTGCTATGGAGCTCGTCACTATGGCAGCCGAGGCCTCGCAAACAGGGATTTGCACAACTGCCTGGTGGAGTCATGAAAAAACTGTTTTCCTTGCTCTGCAGCTGCAATCAGGAGCTATAACAGTGCCACAACAAACTGGACAAGTTAACTTGTGCCTGAGCAGTGCTCTAGGAGCCCCAGGGGCTGGAAAGGACAGCCCAGCACCCCAGGAACCAGACCCCAGCACCCTGGGGTGCCTGGCAGGGCTACAGGCAGCACTTGCCTTCAGGAATTTCCCAGGAAACCCTCAGCATCCTCCCTCCTCTCTCATTTGAGGCTTTCTGGCTCACGCAGCAGTGACCCCCCTCCCACCGTTCAGCACCTCTCCCACCTCATAGCCCTGGTGCTCCCAAGCTTCCCCACTCCATGGAGGGGATGTGACTGAGGTTTGTTTCTCCTCCCAGACTCTTCCTTTTTCATTCCCCTTTGTTCCCCCTGAGCAGCACTCTAGCCAGGGGTATCTTCAAACCCATTCCTCCAGCCCAGTTCCGAGGCAGCCTCTGGTCCCCTCAGGCTTCCCCCTCTGCACTTGTGTTTTTCCTCTCCCAGCTTCCTCCAAGCCCTTCCCATCCCCCTTCCATCTCCCACACACAGCTCCAGCCAGAGGCAGCAGCAATAAAATCTCAGCCTGCATGTTTCCAGGCTGGCAAACTGACAAGAAAGAGGGAATGGATCTGTCCTTGCTGGTGCTGTGCCTCCTCCGCGCTTAAGGTGTGCTGGGGACACAGTCCCGCGACTGGGGATGCAGACCCAGGATGAGCATCCTTCTGCCCTACTGCCCACACCAGACTCCCCCAGCCGCAACCCACAGCCCACCACCCTCCCGCCTACCCCAGCTTCTGAAAACAATGGAATCAGCTCCAAAATTACCACAATTTCCTGCTCTTCTCCTTTCCTTAGCAGAGGATGCTGCTGGCCCTTCCCCCATCACATTCCCTGCCGCTTCTGTAATGCCATTACAAGGGCCTGGATGAGGCCCAGCTTTAAGATCATGACTTTGCAAAGATGAGATTGAAAATGCTATAGCAGGCAAGTGGGGGAATGATTTGCAGCCTCCCAAAGCACTGGTGAGCCCTTACTTCCAGCCAG